CTTAGCACCACGGTCCGACTGGAAATTGTCATGCATACTGTGGACTCCGGACAAGATGCGTTTCTCTAAGTCTTCCCGCCAATATGATCAAGTTGCGAAAACAAGGTCAAACAACATATAAGCCATGTTAAATTGATATTTTAATGGGTTTACTCTCTTAAATTACGTCCAGGTGTTTTTTTAGACTCATCGCTAGAGCCATGATAGCTTGCAGAGCTAAAACGTTGGTATGTATTGATATTAGATAGAAACTTGCACAAATATAATCTTTATCGTCATCTCCTAAACGTATATTTAGTCAGTGACATCGTTTTAATCTAAACCGAGACCAATTAAATTTTGTATCAGTGCTAATGGTATTTTTAAAGGTAAGAATAAATAAAATATTCTTTTGCAAAACTATACCTTCTACGCACGTTCTAAAACTCCTTTTCACTAAAAGATTTTGCATATATTTCCTTTTTCTACATATCTGCATATATGCATGCTGAACGACCCATTTACCGGGAATTTCATGGATGATGCCAAACATGAGTGTAACTAATGTTTATTTTACTCTGTGGTGATGATTTAGAAAGAAAGAGAACACTCGTCAGCCCCCTAGCATGCCAGCATCTAATCCTAGCCCTCCGCGTCCATCCAAATGCCTGCCAGAGAAGCAGTTCTTTCTTCGCGACTCCATCCTTACTGACCTCTTCCACGTGTCGCACATCCGCAGCGTCTACCATATTTTCGTGGCCATCATGATAATTTTTTTCCTTAACACCACAATGAATGACTTCCTTGAAAAGGGAGGTGTAGTGCACACCTATCACTTCGAGCTGTTTGTTTGGGTGTTCGGCGGCGTCCGTGACGTTCTTTTCGCTTGGTTTCTAATGCAGATCACCACGCTCCTGGTACCTTATACCGGGTTTTCTGCCTGGCTGATACTGCGAGAGCAGGTGATGCACTACGATCAACAAACCTCCATCCCTCAAAAGCAGGTCGAGCCCGAGGAATCCGATTGCAACAATCATAAGCCAACCAGTAGCGTAGCTATGCCTGCGCAGACTAGCGGTGAGCAAGGCCTATCAGACAAACGTACTGGCTCTCTTTTAAACAGGCTGCTCAAACAAGACCTATTGAAGACTCGCTGCGTTAACTATTTTGCCCTGCTTTGCTACATTGTCTATCAGGTAGCTACTACAAGTACACCTAACTAGCCTTTTTCAATTAGCTATGACTAGGAGAATCATTAATGCATGTAGTCGGTCCTTTTTGGCGGCATAGTTACATTTCTAGAGAAACGTTATTCATGAATGAAATTTCCAAGTTTCTTCTCTAGCTTATTATGACACCACATTAAGTTGATTGCTAGTTGAATTAAGCTACAAGTTTTTTGAAGGCGGGTTTAATTGCTTTTGGCACTTTTACGCGTAGATAGCTCCTGTAGTCAAAAGGGGAGTTAAAAATGGCTGTAGAAC